CGCGGAGATCGCGGGGTCACGAGAATGACCCCGTACCGGGGGGCACGAAGGTCTTAGCCGAAGGCTGAGCCGTGGAGGTCGTTTCAGGGGACGCACAAACCAAGACCCACCGGACCGCGACGCGATACCACCGACGGGCGCGAAAATCGCTGGGTCATAACAATGACCCCCGCGCCGAAGGGCACGGAGGTCACAGCGGGCGGCCGACTCGCCAAACACGCCTCAAGGGCGACCCGAAGAACAACCGATCGACTCGAGACGCGATATTGATAACGGAAGCGAGTCTAGCGGGGACAAATGATGACTCCCAGATATCGAAAACCGAGGGAGCCCGGGGAAAATCGGCGGGTGGAAAGTCATTAGAGGAGGCGCCGAAATAAATCCAGAGGGTCAGCGAGACCACTCAATCGTGAAATACCCGAACCCGGGAACCAGGGGAGCGGGGTCCAGCGGGACCCGTGCCGATGCGTGCGATTAGTTATAAGACGTAGATTGAGAACCGCAGGCGCGATTAGTTATAAAGCGCAGATTGAGAACCGCAGCCGTCACCGGCGACGAAAACAGGCAAAAACTATCCAAAGAAAAGTGAAAGCGAGTAACATCTGGCACGGAAAAATACCAGGATGTGAATAACAACCCGGCGGTAGGGATAGAGATCCTGAGGTGGGATAGCCGAGAGCGCTCGGCAACTCGAGGCAGTCGCTCGGATACCGCGATCGGGGTAACACGCTATTAAGATTCGCTCATATTCGGACTTAGCGCGTAGTTTAGCACCGCGGTATGTAACAACCGGCACTCCCGCGGCGCCGAAAAACGCGGACCCCCTCGCCCCGCGGCGCTGGAAAACGCGGTTCACCCCTTCCCTTCCCCCGCGGTGCCCGAAACACGCGGTTCCCCCCTTTCCCTCCCCCGCGACGCCCGAAACATGCGGTTCCCCCCTCCCCCTTCCCCGCGGCGCCCGAAACATGCGGTTCCCCCCTCCCCCTCCCCCGCGGCGCCCGAAACACGCGGTTCCTCCCTCCCCCTCCCCCGCGGCGCCCGAAACGCGCGGTTTTCTCCCCCGCGGCTCCCCCGCCCGCGGTTCCCCCCCGCCCCTCACCCCCCCTCATTGCCCCATGGTTAGAACAAACGTAGCTTACCTACTCGCCATATTGCGCGGTAGATTCAGTGAAGCTCCTTAAGCGCCATATTGCGCAGATTATTTTGTATAGTTATAAAGCGTCCTATTGCGCAGAAAGTTTTTGTTTGCGGTTAAACACCATATCGCGTATAGGTTGAAAGATGGCGTCAAACGCCATGACTGATTAAGCATAAGTTTATTTTGTATAGAAACAAATATACATATTTTTTCCTAACGAACCTCTATTCATTTCCTGACCTCGTTAGCGGAAGTAGTTAAGAAACCGGGACAAGGAAACGATAGAGTAAGATTTTGATGTTACAAACGCACAGTAGGGACTCGAAGGAAGGGATTCCCAACAGTG